GAGTTGCTCCAGTCTCAGTCAGACCATTAAGTCTGGTCTTCTTATTAGAATTTGAGTTCTGTACCCCACCTTTCTCCTGCTCCATCTGGGACTCTTGTGTTCCCTGTTGGGGCGGTCATTGGTGGTAGCCAGGCACCATCTAGTTCTTCTGGTCTCAGGCTGATGAAGTCTCTGGTTTATGTGGCCCTTTCTGTCTCTTGGGTTACTACTTCCCTTCTGTCTTTGGTGTTCTTCATTCTCCTTTACTCCAGGTGGTTGGCACCAATTGATGCATCTTAGATGGCCGCTTGCAAGCTTTTAAGACCCCAGACACCACTCACCAAAGTCGGATGCAGAACATTTTCTTAATAAGCTTTGTTATGTCAATTGGCCTAGATGTCCCCTGGAAGCATGGTCCCCAGACCCCTGCCCCTGCTACTATGTCCCTCAAAGTGTTTGACTGTATTCAGGAAACTTCTTAGCTTTGGTTTAGTCCAGTTGTGCTGACTTCCCCTGTAGTGAGTGCTGTCCTTCCCTTCACCTAAGATAATTCTTATCTACTATCTAGTTAGTAAATAACCCTCCCCCGCCCTCCCCACCCTTGCAACCATCAAAGAATGTTTTCTTCTGTGTTTAAACCTTTTCTTGAGTTCTTATAATAGTGGTCTTATACAATATTTGTCCTTCTGTGATTGACTACATTCACTCAGCACAATGACCTCCAGCTTCCTCCATGTTATGTTTCACGGCTTCATCATTGTTCTTTATCATTGTATAGTATTCCATTGTGTGGATATACCATAATTTGTTTATCCATTCGTCTGCTGATGGGCATCTAGGTTGTTTCCATCTTTTTGCTATTGTGAACAGTGCTGCGATGAACATGGGTGTGCAAGTATCTATTCGTGTGATGGCTCTTATTTCTCTAGGATATATTTCAAGGAGCGGGATAGCTGGATTGTATGGTACTTCTATTTCTAGCTTTTTAAGGAAGTGCCAAATCGATTTCCAAAGTGGTTGTACCATTTTACATTCCCATCAACAGTGTATAAGTGTTCAAGTCTCTCCACAGGTGAAGTGCCTGTTCATATCCTTTGCCCATTTTTTAGTTGGGTTATTTGTTTTTTGTTGTTGTTGAGGTTTTGCATTATCTTGTAGATTTTAGAGATTAGGTGCTGATCGGATTTGTCGTAGCCAAAAATTTTTTCCCAGTCTGTAGGTTGTGTTTTGACTCTTTTGGTGAAGTCTTTTGATGAGTGTAAGTGTTTGATTTTTAGGAGCTCCCATTTATCTGGTCTCTCTTCTGGTGCTTGTGCATTGTTACTTATGGTTCATATTGTGTTTATACCATGTATTAGGGCTCCTAGCGTTGTCCCTATTTTTTCTTCCATGATCTTTATGGTTTTCAATTTTATATTTAAGTCTTTGATCCATTTTGAGTTAGTTTTTGTGCATGGTGTGAGGTATCGGTCTTGTTTCAGTTTTTTGCATATGGATATCCAGTTATGCCAGCACCATTTGTTAAAGAGACCGTCTTTTCCCCAATTAATGGACTTTGGACCTTTGTCAAATATCAGCTGCTTATAGGTGGATGAATTTATGTCTGGATTCTCAATTCTGTTCCATTGGTCTATGCATCTGTTGTTGTACCAGTACCAGGCCGTTCTGACTACCACGGGGGTATAATAGGTTCTAAACTCAGGTAGTGTGAGGCCTCCCAGTTTGTTCTTCTTGAGTAATGCTTTACTTATTCAGGCCGTCTTCCCTTTCCATATGAAGTTGGTGATTTTGCTTCTCCATCTCATTAAAAAATGTCGGTGGAATTTGGAACGGGATTGCATTGTGTCTGTAGATCACTTTGGGTAGAACTGACATCTTCACAATGTCGAGTCTACCTATCCGTAAGCAAGGTATGTTTTTCCACTTATGCAGGTCTCTTTTGGTTTCTTGCAGTAGTGTCTTGTAGTTTTCATCGTATAGATCTTTTACGTCTCTGGTTAGATTTATTCCTAAGTATTTTGTCTTCTTGGGGGCTATTGTAAATGGTATTGATCTGATTTCCTCTTCGAGGTTCTCTTTGTTGGTGTAAAGGAATCCAACTGATTTTTGTGTGTTTATATTGCATCCTCATACTTTGCTGAAAGCTTCTGTTACTTCCAAGTAGTTTTGTTGTGGATTCTTTGGGGTTTTCTGTGTATAAGATCATATCATCTGCAAATA